TGATGGTACATGGAGTGGATTATAATCATTGTAATGAAGCAAGGTGTATAATTTTTTAATGTAAAACTGATGATCTGCCCTGTAAACTTTCACTCAATCTACAATGTTGTTGTTGTTATGTGCCGTGGAGTCGGTACCGACTCATAGTGACCCTGCACAGGGTTTCCGAGGCTGTAAATCTTTATGGGAGCAGAAAGCCTCATCTTTCTCCGCGGAGCGTCTGGTAGTTTCGAACTGCTGACCTTGCGGTTTGCAGCCTGATTCGTAACCACTACGCTACCAGAATCCACAATAAAAACCTTTAAAAAAAAAAAAGATATATTGATAATTGGTGACAATTGGAATGCAAAGGTTGAAAGCAAAGAGCACTCAGTCCCTCTCATTCCATGAGTACAGAGTCCTCAATGTTACTTAACTCTTAAAACATTGTTATTTAAACATGGGAACCAAAACATTTCTTTAGCAACCATTTATTGAGCACCTCCTATGTATCAAACCCCACGCTAAACACATGCAGACTCAAAGTTGAGTAACACACATATGTTCATCTCCAAAGGGAAGCCAAGGCAAATTAAGTGACAGAAAGGGAAAGAGAGAAAAATGGGTTGTGTGTATATGTTTACTATACTGGCTAATGAGATGTTTTTGTTTTATTCTCTAAGGATGTAGATGCTTATTTATTACAACTGCATTGAGAAGATTCATCTACTAAAGAATGTTTGGTTACTCAAAACATCCTGGGACCATATGATTTCCAGAAAAATGTCTCTTCTGAGAGCTTTGAACTGTGGAAGAAATCAAAACCTTTTTTTTTTCTTTTTAAAAATCCACATAATGAAGCCACTAATGAAACCCTAACAATCTACTTCACATTGAAGTGGGAAAATATCCAAAAGGAGCAGCTTCAACTTCAGTGAGGTGAAAGTGCACTATGAAGATTGTTGGCCGTTGCTGCATTTGGGATTTATATGGTTATTTGGTAACATTGTTGAAAAACTACTGGGTCTTACTGCACTCCTGCATATTGCATAATATAATTTATACTATGTGAAAAAATAAGACAGGACTTATTACTAGGAACCACAAAGACCAATCATCATGAATTTTTTTAAAGATTGTGTTTTATAAGAAAACACTTAAATGTGTGCAGCTATTTTCTTATGTTGAAAAGACTTTGAAAGTTTAAAACATCATAGCAAATAATCAATATTAAAATTTTTTGTTCACACTGAGATACTACTGTGTATGTAAAATGCCTTAATAATGAATAAGCCAATGTGTTAAGATACCAAGATGTGTTTTAAAAAATGAAAACCAACCATGCTTCTGACATAAAATCATGGAATTAAATCACAGGTTTACATACATGTAGAATGATGGTGAAACCTAGTCTACACCTTTTATGAAACTTGAGACTATTTTTAGTATCTCTGATTTTTATTTTTTTTGTCAGAATCATGTCATGTATGTATGTGTTATACTTGTATTAAAAAAGGGTGAATATGTATTTGTATGAATGCTTAACTGGAAATGTCTATGGAGTTGGCTAATTTATGTTCACTTTTTATTACATATGAATTTCTAATATTTTCAGTTCTGTATCATTTAAGCTTTCTTAATTTGAGTAAATTCACTAAATATTTCTATTTTTGGTTTTTTAAAAGTTCTAATGATTTTATATGAATCCTGTTTTCCTTCTTTTTTCTCTACCTATGTTTTGAAGAGTTACATATAAGGCTTTAGAAATGTGTACACTGAGTGCTGACCTTGTGTTTTAAATTCCAGTACTTTCCATTACTACCTCCTCCAGTGGTTGATATAAAATACAAGCAGACTATTAGAAACCTCACCTCCCTTATTTTAAAATACAGTTTTTAGTGAATACAGTTCTGGAATGTCTTAAGAGCTGTCTATCTTAACTTGTCTTGAAAGTGATTCGGGCTTAATACCGTTACTGAGTGTTTATAGATCATCTCATCTTTAATAAGCCTGACAGGCATTTGAGCAAAGATTTGTATTAATTGAATTTCATTGCATTAATTTTGTAAGCACTTGAATATAATTCTTCAGCATTTACCTAGCTAGTGACTACTGATACGAATCTCAAACAAGCGTCTGTCTTGTTTTAAATGTTAGGAACACTACCTTACACCGAGCTCTTTTATTTTATAGTTGTTGTTTCATATAACTATGTATTCTCCATAATGGAAATCAGTTGTAGCAAATGGTTGTTAGATTAATTGGTCTTTAGATTATAGTCATTTCAGTTTACTGACTTCTATGATTTGAGAGGTGAGTTACTTAAATTGTTTTTCAGGAGGTGAGAATATGAATCATATGCTGAATCATATCATCTATATATAAGACCTTTGTTGTTGTTAAGCGCTGTTGAGTTGGTTCCTACTCATAGAAACCCAAGAAACCCATACATCTCCCAAGGCTGTAAACCTTTGTGGGAGCAGAAAGCCTCATCTTTCTCCTGAAGAGCAGATGGTGGATTTGAACCACTATATTCGAAATACAGTCTTTTCTTTGTTTCTATTCCTTTAGTCTTATCTAACTGTTTGAAGCAGTTAACTTGGTTAGACCATACTGCTAAGGAGACTAAGAACAGGGGCACAATCCATTTATATCTTCATTAATTTCATACATAACAAAAAAGAATCATTTCATGGCTACAAATCAATTCCTCCCTCAGGTATTAGGTTCTGGGTCACAAAGAAGGTCTTGTAAATCATTTAGCATAAACCCTTGGCTTTGAATAGAAAAATAACTCAAATAGACTTTTAGTGTGATATTTAGCATAATATATTTTAAATAGGTTCTTATTTTTTCATGATCAAATCCCTGACTAAACAGTATCCTTTCAAATCAAACTTCAGTAAATTGAACGTTAGTAAAAAAGTTACAAAGGAAACACTAAAAGAAAAGATTTGTCTTGTTAACATTGAGTTCTCGTACCAAAGTTTGGTTTCTTGAAGTGGGAGGAGGAGGTGTGTTAACATTCCGTTTTATATACGCTGACCTTTGTGAGGCAGCAGTCTTCAGTTCATAAAGATTATTTAGTAGCACATACTCATTTTTTTTCTTGATCTTTCCAGTTGTTTACCTTAATACCTACCCCTCAGTTTTGAGTTATAAGATTCTTGAATGAAAGATGTTAGATAAATAAGTACTGTTGAACACTTCTCTGGCAGTTGAATTATTCTCCTGCTACAACATTTTAATCAGAACAGTGTTACTCTCCAGAAAGAGCCCAAAAAAAGTGTTGACAAAGTATACTGGTTATTGAATTGACCTAGATTAGGACAATTGCTGTTTGTCATTGCTCATTTGTTGCTGTATGCAGGACTGGGCAACTTCTCAAGGTCCTTGTAAATCTTTGCAGGAGCAGAAAGCATCATCATTCTCCCACGGAGCAGCTGATGGGCTTGAACTACCGACCTTGTGTTCACAGTCTTTTATCTTACAGAGCCACTACACTCCCATTGAGGTGATGTTAAGTGCTATTGAGTCAGTTCTATATAGTGAGCCTGTATAGAGTTTCCAAGGATGGCTTTAAACTGCCCATCCTTGTGGTTAGCAGTCTCGTGCTGATCCTACAGGTGCATTAAGTAAATTGCTTCTACAAGTGATAAATGGCTTTTGTAGAGTGAGCATGATCAGAATAAGGGTTAAATGTTAGGGATCAAGTACTATATTGTCAGATGCCTTTTAAAATTCATCTTTTGGCAGTAACTTCAAAGGTAGTTGGCACATACTATTTACATGAATCATGAGGTGTGAGAATTTGTATCCACTTTGGGAGTCATTAATATCTATACTGAACTCTAATCACCACTGTGGAATTAAATCCTAATGCTCTGAACATACTTGGTACATGTAATTCCTAAACTTAAGAATTACTGTTAGTTCAAAGATCTGTTTCTGGCCAATGAAAGGGAAATTTTCCTACAATTTTCTACCTTAGAACATTTTTTTTTTTTTTAATTTGGCAAACTATTGATATAATTTAAACTAATGGACTCCTTGTGTGGCATTGTGGGATAAACACTGGCCTGCAGAATCAGTTTGAACTGCAAGGTCGACGATTCAAACTCGCCACCCACTCCTCAGAAACCCTATACAGGGTCCTATGAGTCAGAACCGACTCCAATTCAATAGCAATTAGCAACAACAATGGATAATAGTAATATTACCTATTGTAAATAATAAAATACTGATGGATAATAATGAATGGAGAGTATGGTTCTATACAATAAGCACTGGACTGAAAACCACAAGTTTGGAGGTTCAAGCCCACCAGCCTCTCGGCAGGAGAAAGAGGAGACTTTTTGATTGAACAACCTTGGGAACCTCATGCAGGGTCGCTGGCTGTGATTCAGAACCGACTCAGCAGCACTTAACAACAATAACAACACAAGTAATGATTATTATTAAATGTTGATAATAGAATCATGTTTACATATTTATTTTCTTACCTAAATTAGTCAAGAAATCTGAAAGAAAACAAGATTTAAGTTACTATTTCATCAGGCATTACTAAATTAAATGAACCCCAGTTACCTTTCTTCCTATTTAAGAACAAGATAGTAATGTCAGTGACCATTCTTGATTTATAGAAAAAAATTAATTAAAATCACAGCAGCAAACTCAACTGGAGTGATCTATCTGGATGCACTATTCTAACCTTTCATCATAGACTTTTTTATTTTCTGGATTGTTTCAGATGGAACTAGTACTGCTGGATATCCTTTGGTAGGTATTTCCTCCTGTTAGTCTTTCTCCTTTAATCTTTCTGATTAAATAATATCATAAAAATTTTGCCACTATAGTCTGCCTTTTAATTCTGTAATAGGTATAAAAGGAACGAAATTCTTCCTATTCACTATATGCTTCTAATTTGTAACATAGCTTGATTGGTTCAACAACAGCACAAAGTATAATAGTAAAAATAGTGCATATTATATATCCAGACAGTACATTTTTACAGATGTATTTAATACATTTATTTAAAATACTTTGTCATAATTTTTGTGTCATTACTAACAATCTTCTAAAATCAAACCTCAGAAAAACTCAGTGCAGCAACAGAAGAGGCAGTATTTACCACGATATTTTCTCATAGAATGTAATTGATCATAAAGCACAAAAAAATATAGCTGTGGTGTGCCATTAGTTCCATGAAAAGACAGCCTCATAGGTGCTGTTGTGCTTTGCTTGGCAAAGCGTGTTCCATATTGCTTTGATACGCAGAATTGCTATTCTCTGGAGTTCTTGGGTGCCATCAGATCATCTCTGATTCATATAGCACTTCTGTGTATACGGAACAAAAGGTTGCCTGGTTTTGTACCATTCTCACAATCACTGTTGGAGCCCATTGTTATAACACAGTCCGCTCTCTGCCTTTTCCTCTGACCCACTGGTTTACTAAGCATGATGTCCTCCAACAATTGGTTCCTGGACTAAAGAAGAGTTAATAAAAAACAAACCAAAAAACCCACACACTTCGTAGTGTATTGTTTAAATTGAGAAATGCCAGAAGTTTAGCTTAGTAGTGAGTCACCAAATACTTTTGAACTATGTTGATTCTTATACTTTACAGTATTCTGTATTTTCATTCAGGTTTAAACAAAGATTTAAAAAAAAAAAGCAAGTCCTGGACCTGGCTAGGATTGTTAAGACACCACCAAAGCTAGGAAGAGTTGATCCCAAGTTTTTTCTAGGATAAGAAAAAGTTGTCTGAGAGTCTTGGAATATACTGAATCACCAAACTTACTCTATTTATCCACCAGGCTTGCAGCATGGAACCTGAGCTGAAATTAGACTTTACTTTCCAGGAAAAGAAGTTACATCCATTTACTGCACAATTATAACTAAATACAGTAAACACAAAACTGAGCTTTTAAGAATGTCTTACATTGGTCCAGGGCCATGTTATTGTTGGTTTCGTCTAAAGGTTTAATCAAATCATTTCTGCTTTTTCAGACTCCATATAACATTTTACATTTTTTCCATGAGTGTAAGGGCTGCATTCTGCAAAACTTTAAAATACGAAATAACAAAAGTTTGCCTATGAAACGATTTCATAGAAAAACTAGAAATTTTCAATTTGTAAAATCTGGCTACTTTACAAAATTTTATCAGTTATCTAAGCATTGACATCAATTTATAATTAATGAGAGCTGTAGGGTTTAGAATATATTTTTGGTACAATTTCAAAAGAGAAGCTAATGTGTTCAAACAGTATTACAACCAGACATGATCTTATAGAGTTCCGTGATCAAATGATACACTTTTGTAATTGGAACTAAGTGAATAACATTGCTTTTTTTCCTTAATTTTATTAGCCTATGAGGCCAGATAGCTTCTTTAAAATGTAAGTTGGTATGGAAGATTTGATTATAAAACTTTGACTTTAAATGACATGAAACTTAGCGGTTTGCATTATTAATGCAGCTGTTGACTAGTATGATATTTAAAGTACTGCATTATATCTTTGAAATTAAATACTTCAATTAAAGGATATTTATGAACTATACCAGCTTCCCTGAGCTTGTAGCAGCTGGCACACCCTCATTTATCCTTTTACTGATGGTGTGAGTTTCATGTCTGCTACTTTAATCTCTTAGTCAATCTTTGTT